GATGATCTCAAACCTTCTCCTCTGTTAACAGTCCATGGACTCTAAGAATCTGTTTCCTAATAAATTAGGTTGAAAAATTTTGGTCAGGAGGGATTAAGATAAAAGCTATTCTGCTGGGTGTTAAGCAGCTGAGGAAGAACCAGAATAGAGTATATTTACTGTGATAGGTTTCTTTTGAAGCACTTTTTAACATTTTTCAGGTATATCGTCCACTGTAATCCTTAGCTCCAAGGATTATCTACTATAGTGGGGATTCCTAATTCTCTACCCAAAATTTAATAGTTTTATTCCTCATCAATTTGGAATTTTATGGAGAGGATAAAATTTTATGTCATACTCAACCTGTTCAACATTTTTTTTGATATTTATGTTGACAGATGCAACTCTGGTTCATATTTTGTCATGATATATAGTATTCCGTTGATTGAAAACCCCCCACAATTTATTTATGCCTTCTTCTGTTGATACACTTAGCTTGTTTTCCTCACTATTAAAACAGTACAGCAAAGAATATCCCTATTATATCTGTCTTAATGTGCAAGTTTCTCTCGCATTTGTACCTAGCAGTGTCATGCTGAGTCAAAGCATCTATGTTTCTTTGATTTCACTAGATCACGAATTTGTTCTCCAAATTGGATATGCCCGTATATACTTGGATCAGCAATGTATGAGAGTTGCATCATATCCTCTCTATCACCTAATCTGGTGGATGTGAAATGGAATCTAGTTATGGTTTTTATTTGCATTTTCCTAATTAGTAATGAGGTTGAGCATTAGGTTGCACATTTTTTCAGATTTCTTTTGGTCTTTCAGTTTTTCTCTTCTGTGATTTTCTTGTTTTTGGCCATCTGTTGGGTTTGTCTTTTTAAAATTGATTTGTTGGAATTATTTGTGTGTTATGGATATCTTTAGTTGGTTATATGCAGTGCAAATATCTTCTCAGTCTATGCCTTCTTTTACCTTTTTTTTTTAAAGAGGAGTGTTTTTTTAAATAGAAATTTTACATTTTAATGAGATTGTGTTTTCACTCATTTGTGTTTTAGTATATTATTTAAGAAATCCTTCCCTACATTGAGATCATAAAGATATTTTGTTCTATAGGAACAGAGACCTTATGGCCCACAAAACCTAAAATATTTACTCTCTAGCCCTTTCAGAAAAAGTTTATTGACACTTGCTCTAAAGAGTCTCTTAAATGAGAGTTTTTGGTTTTTTTCCCTGTGCAACATAATGTGAATCTTGTTAGAAAATATTTTATTCAAATGTCAACTAATAATAAGTTAAAATAGTTTTTATGAAGTAAATTTTATAGCTTACTCATAGGAATATTTTGTAATTGCACTCAGAAAACAAGGCACTTAGAGTACTAACTTTAAACAATTTTGTAATTCATGAGTGAAACTGGTACTGATAAGCTCCAAAATCTATTCTTTTGTAGAACAATTAAAGAGTGAAACTCTTTTTGTCAGTAAGATGAGGTGACCTTTGTCATTGTCTTCTACTTGACTTGATGTATCAGGAATTCTAATGTTGCTTGAATGAATGAATGAGATAGTACATGTAAAGTGCTTACCACAGGGATAGCCTTAATAAATGATAGTTACTATTAATAACGAATATATCAGGATATGTGTTTGTCACTCACAAAGTGGCCCGAATATTAACATAACAAGATGATTTTTCTTTTTGGCCTTGAAAAATAACAAAATATCCTGTACTTTTTCTTTTAAAAGCTAACCTTTTTATGTTGAAGTAACTTTTTGATAGGTGAAGAACTTCAAATTAAGACATCAATTAAGCATCTATCAGATTTTGTGCATGGGTACAGTACTTGGTTTATAGACATTAGTTACAGTCTATCAATTAAAAAAATTTAATTTACATTTATGTGCAAAACACCATGCTCAATGAATGAGTTATATAAAGAAATGTAAGAGTTTCTTTCCTCAGGGAATTTGCTGTATGGTTGAAAGCTAATACATGCACATATGGAAAGTTATGGAAAAGTATGTTACTGTTTCATGGACCTAGTTTTCCCTTTATTTCATACAAATAAGCTTTTTTGGGGGGTCTCTTTTCCTCTCTACTTCTTTATATACTTATTTTTCTTATTAAATATATCATTTTATGCTTGATTTTAGAATTCAATTCATAGCCTCCTTTTAGAAGCTCCCCTGATTTATGAATTAGCAAAATAACATCTCTCGCAATGAAATAGTTTCTAATTATTCTTTCTTTATTTTCCTTTTCTAAACATGTTTGATTACCATGCTCATTTTTATTTTCATTGAATGGGAGGATATCATGACTTCCTGTCACTGCTGTTTTCAGGATTCTTTCTCTGGTTTTCATACAAAATTGAAAGTTGCTGATTTTGGTACAAACATACATGTCTCTTTGAAGCCTGTGTTCTATTGCCACAATCAGTTTTTTCCAGCTTCAAATAAGATTGTGCCAAATCCTTTAAATGGAAACTTTAATAGAAGATCACTTCTGAAGAAATAATTCTTCTAAGGAAAAAGAATCAATTTTCTTAATTTTCATCTTCTACTCTACTTGCCCAACTACCCACTGAAAAACCATCTTCTTGAGGAGTCAGCCTTAAATTCATAGATGATATAATTACCTCAGAGCACTTTAAAACTTAAACAAAAATATGTTTAATATAAAATTAGCCATGGTTTATACTTTTCTCAATTATGGAGTGAAAAACAAATTTAAGGTACCTAAGTAAAGCTGCTTTAGTGTGAAAAGTTTCCTGAAACTAGTTCTTGATCTATTGCTTTTGTTAGTGCAGCTACTAGCATAACATTTTAAGATAAGCAGATCCTTTCTTTAAAAATTATTAGTGCCAAATTCACCCCTTTTAAAAATTAAAAGTTAGAATGCAATGTAACTAGTTATAAAGCTGTATAACATCCCTTTTTATAGATACATGTATGAAGATCTGCAAGTTATACACTAAATCATTTGTGGTGGAGGCTTGACTTATTTTGTATATTTCTGTATTGTTTGAATTTTTTGGTTAGAAAAAGAGTGGAATTAAAATAAAAGGAGTAGATGGTAAAGCTCTAAGTGGAATTGATGTTGGAAAGTATTACATTGAAAAGTAGTTTCTGAGCCTTGAAAAAAGACCACTTTATTGGATTACTTTTATGCTTGGATATAATATATCCATAAGTATATAATAATGCATTGGGCCCTAGCATTCTAATATTCAGAATGAATTTAGCTGTATCATAGGGAAGAGAAATAGTATAATTGAGTGAAAAGATTGAAGGTATAAAAAAGTAAACTAATTCTGCTACCTAGAGTTACCTTAATTCTTTTACTATGTTAATTAATTAGTGTGATCACTGCAAAGGCCGAAAAAGAAGTTAGTCAGAAATATCATGATATAATTTGCATTCCATTTTCTGTGTGACCATAAATTGTTAGATATTGCAGTATATGTAACATAAACCACATCAGTTGTTTCCTGCCTCACTGTTGACAAGAGCCCGATTCATAACTCTTCTTTTTATCCTTTCAGTGAATAAGTAATTATTCAATATAGAAGGCAGGATATTTGGAACTGGCTATTTAATGTGGCAGCACTCTGTAATGAAATCTGCTGTTACTGGCAACCTGAGAGGGGAATGTAACAATTCCAGCATGGCTGTAACTTTATCTGACTTTGACTGACTGTTTATTTGGCACATCAGTGAACCTTTTATCCCAGTGAGTGACAGCTCCAGAAGGGTCACATTTACATCCATTCTATCATGTATTGTAATATTTAATGGCGGACAAGGTTGAGTGAGACTGGGAGTAATTTGAACTTGCTTTTCCACTGAGTTGAGGCTAAAAGACAGCTTGATCCCCAGTATTGTGGTGTAACATGCTATGACTTAGCATTTGTTTATGAAGGCTAATCTTACTGATTCTAATTTTAAAAAAAACTTCAGTTAAATGATGTATTTGTTCTACTAAACTAAAACTTTCCAGTACAAATTCTCTTAAGCCACTGTGCTATTTAGCTTCCCCCCCCATCAGTGACTACTTCTATAAACTAACCATTTCACAGTATTTCTCTTAAATGAGGCTGCGTTCTGTCTGATTTATGTCGTAATTGAGGTTGAGAAGGGAGTAGTTATTAAGAATCCATGGGTTCTAATATTTAGCATTAAACCTTTTTTTATTTTTGAGAGTTTGGAAACAGGAGAGAAAAATCAGGTAACTATTAGACTATATTTCTGATGTTCCTTATGATGTGTTTAAGGAGACATTTATGAAACTATTTTAATTATGAAACTGAATTACAAGTAAAATTGTTCAGAAAAAGCTATGCTGAGTGATAATTTTGCTGATGGATTTGCATTCCATGACAGGTAATTGAATTTCAGATATACTTGTTCCATACAAGCAACCTGCCTTCATTATTAAATATTAATAATTTGTATTCATTTTTATACCTTTGCTAGAGAATAGTTTTTCTCTTCTAGTTTTTAGTGATACTTTAAATTCAACTTGATATTTCTATTCTTTTGTAAGCTATATTTAAACTGCTGTTTAAAATATTGATATATTATAGGATATTTGAATGGGCCTTGCTGTGAACAAAAATAGCACTGTCAACTCTAAACTGTAGTATCACAAGTTCACTTGAAGCCCAAGCAAAAATGAAAATCATCCTCCATTTTGTCTTATTTCTATAATTTATGAAAGAGGAGAATTAAAATGAATGTACTTAAGACATTTGGAATTTGAGAGTTGGAGTAGTATGTTAGAAAGCAATGCAAATATGGAAATATTTAGAACTTAAGAGTGAAAGAGAACCAATTTGAAATGGAATTTATAGTTTTTTATTTAATGGCAAGTTTTAGATGATGTAATATCTTGAAATTTGTCTTTATTTGACAGTTGTGATTCATTAATTAAGGTTCTGATTCCATGAGAGGTTTGATCACATTTTTTATGGTAATCCAGACATTAGTTATCTTTTCTTTCTTTTGTTACAGCCCCCTGGTCACTGTTCTAGGTGTTGTTGTTCTACTAAACAAGGAAACAGCCAAGATTCTTCAAATACCATTAAGAAGGATCAAGGGGGGAAATCCAGGATACCTAAAATATATTTTGGGACACGCACCCACAAGCAGATTGCTCAGATCACTAGAGAACTCCGGAGGACAGCGTACTCAGGGGTCCCAATGACTATTCTTTCCAGCAGGGATCATACTTGCGTCCATCCTGATGTAGTTGGTAACTTCAACAGAAATGAAAAGTGCATGGAATTGCTAGATGGGAAAAATGTGAGTAAAGTTATTTTGTTTTAGAGAAAATATAAGACTGAAAAGATTCAAATTACTTGACTTTTTATGTGTTCATTTTGTTTCATATGTACATTTCCTGTGTCAAACAAATAACTTATGAAAATCAAATTAATTGCTAGTATTGATATTTTTTGTAAAATAATTTGACCATAAGAAAATCTTAATTCAAGTTTAGAATTATGGGTTTTGGTCCTAAAGCTTGGGGATATTTAATTCCTTGAAATTAATTTCTATTTTAGGCAGAAGTCTTCTTACTTTCTTCTTTTAAATCCTTGTACCAAAAAATAGTCAAACATCGATGATGTCATATGAGGAGATAAAAGTATTTAAATGAATTAGTCTAATTAGATCTAATTAATATATTTTACATACTTTAAAACTTCATAAGAAGATAGTTTATTTAGGCTCTCTGTGAGCAAATTTTAAAATGTCTTTTAATTGAATGAGAAATATAGTAAGTTTCTTGTCTTGTAATTCTGATTTTTATGGACTTGTCTTTCAAAAGAATTTTTAACTTTAAAGATATGTCGTTGATGGTTTTGAAGTTTTCCAGGGAAATCTAGAATAATATGAATTTGGGCCAGGTGGAAATAGAGAAATCTTTCTTACTAAAGACATATGATTTTTTAATAAGTTTTTGACAGTATTAGTGTTGTAGTCCATATACCAATTTCATAATTGGTTTACTCTAAAATTGAAGTTACAAGTCTGGGATTATATCCAGAAATTATTGGTGAACGATAAATTGATAGTGTGTGAAATGACCAATGATATTTTAATATATTTTCAAAGTTGTTCTGTCTTTCACTAGTATTTTGTCAAACATAGTTGCTTATGCACAAAAGGCTATGAGCTATAGCCCCTAGAGTTTCATTTAATTGATATATTCATCTCCTACCATATAATGTGAATGAATTATTTTGTATTATGCTTTTCTTTCTCAATCTTTCTTTTATTAGGTGGAAATTTATTCAGTCTTTATTTGAGGATATTCAAAAGATGCTTCAATATTCAAACATGAGAATGTGAAATATAAGTATTAAGGGGCTTCAATGGGAAAACTTAAGTGACTTGTTCAGAGCCAGGAAGAGAATATAGAATTGCTGAATCAAAACCATTGTTGAAATTCTATGATCATATTTATTTCCTTATAAGTTCTTTTTAACTAATTGAGGAATTGTGAAATTTCTTCACTTTGTATATTTTAAAAGTTCTCTTCAAGGAGAGATGAAAATATTTTAAAAAATCAAATGCTAAAAAAATAAAATAGAGAACAGGCTCTTCATGGTGAAACCTCATAAATTTTATAATTAAGTAGACTTCTTTCCATAAGTGGCTAATTGATCTACTAAATTCCTCAAATGCTTGAAATTTGTTTTGTGGCTGTATAGTCTATGCAGGAAGACTTGCTGGCCTTGTCCTTATCTTTTTACTACTTGTGATGGGGAAAATTATTATGTAATTTATCATGTATCGTTATCCTGTTGGTAAAAGCAATTTTAAAGTTTAAGATTGCATATTGGAAGCAAATATTCTTATTTTATGTAATCCTCTAGAATCCTGCAGTGCTGGTCATGTTTTTTGATTGATCTTTACTCTCATAAGTTTGAATCATGTAAAAATAAAAAAGTAATCTAATAGACTTGAATATTCAGAATTTTTCATTGGCCTTTAGTTTCTGTTTTAAATGAAACAAATCTTTTATTTTTGAATGTTAGTGATATAAATAATTGAAGCTATCTGCTTGTGGTTGTTTGTCTTGACCTAATTCTGCCTCAGAATGCTTAGCTCATAAGCATACATGAACATTCTTTTTGTTGTTCCCAAGCCCCCAGGGTAATTTGGTATTGTAATGAGGGCCAATTACAAAGTCACTATAAGTGTCTATGTTTACTATGGCTGAATTACCAACGTGAAATGATAAATAGATAACTGACAGTTTGAGTGAAAAAGAGTTTAAAGTGTGATAGCGCTTCAATTGACATACTCCCTTCAGGGTTGTGTTACACTGCTAAAATGGATGAGCTTTTCTGGTTTTGCTATCAGCCTGCATAGGAGTGCCATTCTAAGTGCCCTTAAAGTGTAAACTTTCTGATTTTTTGGCTTGATCCGAAGGCACATGTGTTTTTGTTCGCTGTTTCTTTTGCAAAAGTGCTCCTATACTGGAAAAGCAATACACTTATCTGTTAAAGTTAATTTTTGTTTCAATTAAGAAAAAATAATCTTAACTAGCCCTAGAAATAATTCCAAAAAACTACTTTAGGTATGAAAGAATATCTATTTTTTGTTAAGATTAGATTTAACAGTTCGTAATCATGGACTCTGAAGGCATCTTAGCGATCATTTTGTACAAATAGAAGCTTTCAGAATAGTATGAAGGATAGTTGTAATGAAGAAATGGTGAATGCCATATTATTAAACTCAATCTGTAAGAAGTTCAGTATGAAAGATACTTGGCACATCTCCACCTGTCTCTGGATTCCAGAATCATAGTTTTTGAGCTGGAAGGAACCTTAGAAATAGTGTAGTCAGTAGGTCAGGGAAATCGTAAAAGGCTTCTGGTTCAACTACTCTTTTGATGCCTAGTCACATGAGAAAAATGGACCTTGAACTTTGCCCAGTGTCAGACAACTAACTAGCAAGACAAGAGGCAAGTTTTCTAATTCCTAGCCATTGCTATTTTGATTACACTAGAAAACAAAAACAAAAGATGGCATTATGGTATAGGAAAGTTGACACAGCAGGAAGGGTAAAACAAGAGTAGTAGAGATTAGACAAAGTAAGTAAAAATAAAAAATGAACTAAATAAAGAAGGTTAGGTGAGCCTTTTTCTCCTAATTTTTATTTTTAATGCCTTGGAGAACCAACAAGTGGCTTCCCTTACCGTGGCTGAATAAAACACTTTAGGAGTACTACTAGTCCTCACCTGATCATGTCTTGTCCTTGGATCTACTGACGTTGTTTTATAGGTTATGAACCTTTTATGCTTTACTTCATGTCCAGCAACTTCTAGGTACTTCTCTGTATGTAATGGTGTATGTATGTTTTGAAAATATAGATTTGCCTTTTGGATAGTTCATAGAAAAAGCCTATATATTAGCTTATATAAAAGCCTATATATAATATATATAATTGTTTTTGACTTTTAAGGACAGCCAACTGGGAAAGATAAATATTGGATTTCAAAATCACATTTAATTTTTTTATTGATACATTAATGAAAATAAAAATGGCCCATTATTCTACCAGTCACTCCCAAATGACAAGGGAAAAAGAAAAGTAATAACATATATATGGATAGAAGATTCAAAATTACAGACAGGCATGAAATGAAAAGAGATCTCTTTTCATTCCCTTAACTCTTGAAAGAAACTATAAGGTTTATGTGTATTCTTCCAAAACATTTAAAATATATATTTGCTATAATATATATGTATATATTCTTTTAAAAACTTAAACACATCAGCAAACAGACAAATCTAACTCATTTTTTAAGGGCTATATGTTTGGTATGAATTTACTATAATTTATTTAACATATTTCTTGTTGTTAGACATTTGGTTTATATGCAGTTTTTTTGGCTGTTAAGCAGTGCAACATATATATTCACATTAATGGTGAAATGTAGAATTTTAGTAGTTATTGACAAATTACCTGTGTACTTCTCATAGAAGTAAAAGTTTATACTTCTACCAATAGTGTATATTTATACTTCTACTAATTTTATACATCTTTTAATAGGATATGACACACCCTTGCTAAGACTGGGTTTTATCAAACATCTTATTGTTTGATTAGTATATATTAATAAAATTTACTTCCAATAATAGAATGGCAAAGGACATTAGTAGATAGTACATGAAAGAAGAAATGCAAATTACTGCTGAAACTTTTTAGAATGTTCATACAATATAACGTTAAACTTGCTAGAAAGAATAAAAAATACAAGTCAAAACAGGAAGATTCTATTTTTTTGTCTTTAAAAAAGGCAAAGATGAGAGAAGATAATATTAGTATTGATAAAGGTGAGGAAAAAATGCAATTTAAAATGGTATACACTTTCGGAGGATAATTTAGTGGTATGGGTTTCAAGAAACTTAAAAATATTTTATACTCTCTGATCCCATAATGCCATTTCTAAAAATGTATACTAAGAAAATATTTATAAATAGGCATAAAAATGCTCATTGCAGCATTATTTATAAAGCAAAAATTAGTAACTGTCTAAATACCCAATAATGAAACTGATTCATCAACAATGGCACATTAATTCAGTGTACATATGTGGGCAACAATGAAAAAATGCTTAGTGATATGAGAAAATATTTATGATAGGATTTTTAATAAAATAGGCTGAGACCAAAAAAGTCTTCCCAGTTTTGTAAAAAAATGTTTGTTTATTGTGGCTTGATTGATAATAATCCTCAATGCCTGGGGAAAATTTGCTTTGTTCTCGTTATTTTAATATTGGTCACATTGTTAAGATATATCCATTTATACGTATGTATAGGAGAAATATGAAATGAAATGCATCAAAATGTTAATACTACATTCTTTGTGTGATGGAATTATAGATAATTTAGGGGTTTTTTGGTATTCTTTTGCATTTTCCAAATATTTCGTAGTGAACACTCTTACTTTATTTTTCCCTAGGACATTCCTCCTTCCTCCGCTCCCACTCCTCCCTCCTTCCCTCCCTCCCTCCCTCCTTTCTTTTTACTTATGTATATTTGATTAAGTAATACTGTCTCATGGCTCAAATTGAAAAGGTACAAAACCGTCTGTAGAGAAAAATCTCTCCCACTCCTCTCCCCACGTTATTTAGCTCTCATCTTTGAAAGAAATCAGTGATACCATTCTTCTTGTGTATCCTTCCAGAAATATTTTTGCCTAATATCACTTTAATCAGAACAAAGCCACAACAAACATAATTTTAAAAATATTTTTCTCAAGTTAATTTGGGGTATCTAGAACTATACTGATCTGGAACTCTATCAAAGTCAACTAATATAGTGTCTTTAAAATGGTTGTGATTGTAGATATGATTTAATCTGTCTCCTATAAAATCTTTGCCTTGTGGTTTTAAATAGTGTTTCTAAAATTCTGAGATAAACTTGTTTTTATTCCTTCTGTTGCAGTATTGGTTCACATTTCAGTTATGCATATTTGTTTTTAGGGCAAATCCTGCTATTTTTATCATGGTATTCATAAAATTAGTGATCAGCACAAATTACAGACTGAAGGAATCTCCAAGGCCTGGGATATAGAAGAACTCGTCACCTTGGGGAAAAAACTAAAGGCATGTCCATATTATACAGCACGAGAACTAATAGAGGATGCTGATATTGTATTTTGTCCCTACAACTATCTTCTAGATGCACAAATAAGAGAAAGTGTGAGTAGATATGTAAAAATTAGAACTTTTTTCCTACTTATTGGGGTATAAGTGATGAATGTAAAAGCTTTTAGATGTTTTAACGCCTTTTACTTTATTTTTAGCTTTATATTTAATTTATGTAAATATGTAAACATATTAGAGTACTGAAAACATATTCTAAGTTGTATTAAAACTGAATTTTAGACCTTGTCATTTTAATTTCCAAAGTAGTAAGTAATTTTAAGGACTTAGTACTGAAGTGGGATTATAGCAGGTTTTTTCAATCTTGACAGTAATGACATTTTGGGCTGGATAGTTCTTTGTTGTGGTGGGCTGTCTTGTACATTGTAGGATGTTTAGCAGCATCTCTGGTTTTATCCACTAGATACCAGTAGCATCCTCACAGTTGTCACAATCAAAAATCTCTCCAGGGGCCGGCCTGGTGGTGCAGCACTTAAGTTCACACAGTCTGCTTCATGGCCCGGGTTCGCCAGTTCAGATCCTGGATGCAGACCTAGCACTGCTTGTCAAGCCATGCTGTGGCAGGTGTCCCACATATAAAGTTGAGGAAGATGGACACTGATGTTAGCTCAGGGCCAGTCTTCCTCAGCAAAAAAAAAAAAAAAAAAGAGGATTGGCAGCAGATGTTAGCTCAGGGCTAATCTTCCTCAAAAAAGAAAAAAGAAAAGAAAACAAAAATGTCTCCAGACATTGCCAAATCTGGGGGACAAAATTGCCCCCAGGTGTGACCCATTTATCGTAATTACTCTTTCCATTTATGAATACTTAGAATTATTTTAAAACATATCTGAAGAATCTATATTTTGAAGAACTTATGTTGGGACAATATGCATATTATGCAAATTGTGCTTTGTGAGCTTTTGAGAAGTGAACTTTGGATAAAGGATTTGTGTTTATTTGCCTGGTTCTTCATAGAGAGATTCTGTTGTTACAGCATAAGACAAAAAGCAAATAACTTGGTATATTCAGTAGTTATTCCTCTCTTTAGATCTGACTGCACAACTCTCATTAGCTTTCTGTTTCTTTAAGTTTGAAATTAATAGGCATTATGTTTACTACCCCTGCTATACTGCCTCTTATTTGGTTGCCTCTTAGCTAGATCTCTTTCCTCTGAACCACTGTACATATCAATGCTAGGTCAGTCTTCCTAATATCACTTTTATTATATCTTTCCTCTGCTTGAAAATCAATTATTGCTCTCTTAGCTCACGAGAAAAAGTCCATATTTCTTAAACTTACTCTTAAGATGCTCACTAGTCTGACCTGATTCTGCCTTTTCAGCCTTCTCTGCCACAAACTCCCAACTTGAACCTTCAAAAATTACCTCGTAAAACTTGGAGGATACCTTGTTCTTTCCTATATCTCTACTTTTGGTGAAACCTATATTGAAATGCCCTACTTCTCTTCGTCTATCCAAATCCTGCTCATCTTTTAAATCCCACTATATTTCCTACTCTTCCTTCGTTCTTTCTCAGTCATCTTCAGCCCTCTATATATTATTTCCTCAGACTAACTCATTGGCTGTTGCTTTGTCACGTTTCTTTGCATTAGTCAGGACTTTCAGTTTTAAGTGGCACAAACCCAGCTTCAATAGAGCTTAAGAAAAATACTTGACTGACTCTTCCTTGTGATAGCTTTATTCTCAGGCAGGTTCTTTCCAGTGGGAACAAAGATAACGATAAGCAGCTAGCTAACCTGGAAAAAAGAACATGATCTCATATGTCACCCCAAGTTACTCTGATTGGCCTAGCTTGGATCTCATATCTGTTCTTGAACCAGTCACTGTGACCACAGAGGGATGGAATACTTTATTTAATTGGCAAGCCTGAGTTCTGAGTCTACCCATTTTGTGAGAGTAGTGATGTCTCTTGATTAACAGGTTAACAGTCCTTCCAACATGGGAGTTGGGGAAGAACAATTCTCAAAATGAAGGGTTACAGGAAAGACTAAAACAAATACATATTATATTTGTATTTTGAGAGTCTTTTGAGTCTTGTATTATTTTAGTTTTAGAAGTTTTTTTACCTTGCTTTTTAAATTATGTTGGAGATTCCTTCAGAGTGGGGGATTTGTATACCCCTTTGTGTAACCAGCTGTACCTTGTTCCAGGGTCACTTAACACATATTATTTTGGTTGATAGGTTTGCAAAGTATTTTGAGAGTGAAAAGTGGCAAATTCTGTAATGTTAAGCTGATATTTGGTTGACCTTAGTGCTTTAAAAGTTTTAAGACCTAGAACCAGTTGCTTATATGATTACACTTGCAATATTGGCCTATAGTGTAAATTTTTAAATGAAATATCTTGCCTACTGCTGTTGAATCCATTTTGCTGAATGTTTTATAGGAAAATTCTTTTATCTTATAGATGGATATCAATCTGAAAGAACAGATTGTCATTTTAGATGAAGCTCATAACATTGAGGACTGTGCTCGGGAATCGGCAAGTTACAGTATAACAGAAGTTCAGCTTCGATTTGCTCGAGACGAACTAGATAGTATGGTCAACAATAACATAAGAAAGAAAGACCATGAACCCCTACGAGCTGTGTGCTATAGCCTTATTAAGTAAGAGCATTTGTCTGTCAGTGTCATTTGTGCTGCCTTTGGATTAAAAAAACATGTTTTATTATGCCAGAGTGTTTTATAGTTAGTAAACTTTGACCAGACTACTTGGGAAATGGATTATTCCTTGTGAGTTAAACTTTTAAAAATAGGCTAGTCCAAACTTTTGTCTTGTTCAAAAGAATATAATGAACATAATTGATTTTTCAAATTGATAATTCTGAATCTTATTCTTAATATAGCAGCCTCATCAATGTATATAGGACACTGGGCTAAACATAAATTAAGCATGGCTTTATGTAACATATTTTAAAATTCTGGATCATGGCTTTAATTTATCACTTTATCCTCTAGTTTGAGTAGGATTCTGGTTTGATGAGTTTCAACCCAAGATTTCAATACTCTGAATAATAGATTTAGCAATAATTTTATTAGAATTTACATTAGATAATTTCCCTTTCATCAGACATTAGGTGTTGATCTAGAATCTCTTAGAAAAACCTCACCTGACCCTACATCCCATTCATTTACTGCAGCATTTTTATGTTCCCTTCACAGTATACTTTAAAAAAAATGGAATGTTATACAGTCACATATTTGAACATAAAAGGTATACAAATTTATATTATAAAAACCTCCTTCCCACTCCATCCCCTATCTGCTTAGTTACTGTCTTCCTAAGCAAGTTTATCATTCAGTGCATATTTACCCATATGTGAGCCAATATAGATGCTTTCTCTTATCTCTCCTTTTTATCCAAATGGTGGCGTACTATACATACTTTTTTGTCTTCTCCATTTTAAACATAAAAATATGTATTATTTTTTTAAACCACTTTATTGAAGTATGATTGATGTACACAAAGATGTAAATATTTAATGTATACAATTTGATGAGTTTGCAGATAAGTATACATCCATGAAACCATCACCAGAATCTGTGCCATAAACATATTCATCACCTCTGGAAGTTTCCTTCTGCCCTCTTTATTTATTATTATTTTTTGTGGTAAGAACACTTAATATAAGATCTACCCTCTTAGCAAATTTTTAAATATACAATACAGTATTGTTAACTATAGGCACTGTACTTTATACATATGTTTTCCTGTATCTTGCTTTTCTTCACTTAACAGTATATTTTGGAGATCTTTCCATATCAAGACCTAAAAAACTTTATCAGTTTAAAAAAATAGTTGTCTAGAATTCCATTGCATGGATGTACAATAATTTATTTAAGCAGCCTCTGATTAATAGATATTGAAGTTATTTACAATCTTTTGCTATTACATTGCTGTAATGAATAACTTTGAACATATACCATTTTATGTGTATGGGAGTGTATCTGTAGGAAAATTTCCAGAAATGGGATTGTTGGGTCAAACCATAGATCTACGTGTAATTTTGATAGATATTTCTAAAATTTACACAATGGATAGGTGGGTGGAGGACTACTTATACTCTTACCAGCAGTGTATGAGAGTATCAGGGTTGTTTTTTCTAGCCTGATGGGTGAAATGTAGTGTCCAAGTATAATTTTCATTTCATTTCTCTTAATATGAGTGAGATTAAACATCTTTAAGGGCCATGTATATTTCCTTTTCTGTCAACTGTCTGTTGACCTCTCTGTCCTTCTTTTGCTCTTTGTTGTTATGGTTCTTTTTCTTATTGATTTGTACAAGCTCTTCGTAAATTAACCCTTTACCTGTGTAGAGTTACAAATACTTTTTTCCACCATTTTGCCTTATGCTTGTCTTTCCTTATGATATTTTTGCCATGTAGAATTTTGTCGTTTTTATTTCACAGCATAATTTGTCGAAAGTGTTGTCTATAGTTGCTAATTCTATTTTCGCACTTCCCATTCTTTCCTCATCGATTCCAGTAGTATTGCTGTCTGCATAAATTTGCTGAAATTGTTCTTATCAAGGTCACCAAGACTATTGGTGACCTTGGTAAGAACAAGGTCAAAATCCACAGGTTAATGTTCTGTTTTCTTCCTCAGCTTCTCAGCAGTGTTGGGTATTGTTGACTACCACCACTATGAAAAGTGTTTTTGTCTTAACTTCTGTGAAATAATAGAAAATATATATATTGGTCTCTGTCCCCAGTTCCTGGCACAGAGCTCCTAAAACGCTTGTAATTTCCTAAGTGATAAGAGCACTAGGAGCATCTTTTGTTCTAAGCAAGCAATACCAACCAGTTCCTCAAATCAAAAATCTTAAACGTTGTTCTTTATCATTGCCTCACCTCATTCACTTCGTCAGTAAGTTTTGTAAGTGCTACCTGCACAATATGTCCCAAATCCATTGACCTCATATCTATCATCCCAGAGTCATCTCTCAACTAGAATACTGTAGCAGCCTTCCAATAGGTCTCTGCTTTCATTCTTGCCTTTCTCCTATAATCCATTCTGGTTTGGAAGCTGGCATCATCTTTTAAACGCTTAAAATAGATTGTCTCTCTCTTATTTAAAATCCTCCATTTAGAACCTTTCCATTGCACTCTGAATAGAATCCAAGTTTCTTATCCTGGCTCAACATCATCTGATTCCTTGCTTATCATTAACATTGTTCTTACCATTATTCCTTTTTGCCCATTGTGTTACACTACACTGGTTTTTTTTCAGGTCCTTAAATAAGGAAAATTTGCTAACCACCTCAGCATCTTTGTACTAGCTATTCCTTCTACTTAGAATACTCTTTTTTTCTGATCTTCCCATGATTGGTACTTTTTGCTTTCAGTTGTTAGCATAAATGTCACCTCAGGGAGAGCTTCCTTGACATTCAGATTGAAGTAGCAATTAGATTATATTAACCTAACATTTTCATTCTATCACTTGTCACCACCTGATATTTTCTTGTTCATGTATTTGTTTCTAAGTTTGTTTCTTTCTCCATTTAGTAGAATATAATTTCCGTAAGAATTAGGACTTTGCCTATTTTATTTACTGCTGTATTTCCGCTACCCTGGCATAATACAGTGTCCAACGTCTGGCATAATATAGGCATTTAAGCACTTATTGAATGTACAAATGTGTATATATATTAATGAATATATTTATGTATTTTTTGGTAATTCTCATTGTGAGTTAATGTGTAACATTGATTTCTTTATTAGGTTGTTTTGTATCTCCTTTTATGTACATTTGGAATAAGCTCCTAAGCTCTCAGTTGGAGAGACAATCAAGTAAAATAGTGCGAATCCACAAAACACAATTGAGAAATCACATGTATTTCTCTTTTATGAATAAAAGCTTACTTTTTAGCTATATAAATGTTTATTTTGCAGTTTGAGACATGCATGCTTTTTAAAAGATTTCTTAATTGATCCACTTTTGTGCCCTAAGAGCTTCAAGGAATACAGATCAATGTATCATAGTTCTCTTTTATTCAAATGGTACACATAAGGTTGTTACTGGTTGATGGAATTGTTTTATTTTATTCCAGTTGGTTAGAAGCAAACTCTGAACATCTTGTGGAGAGGGATTATGAATCATCCTGTAAAATATGGAGTGGAAGTGAAATGCTCTTAAATTTACACAAAATGGGCATCACCACTGCTACTTTTCCCATTTTGCAGGTAAGATTTTTTTTCCACCTATGAAATTCATTTAGTGAATTAGAAATTATTTAATGGTAAAGAAATTAATCCAGAGTAAAAAAATAAAGTTAGGAATTTAATTGTTTAAAAATTTTATTATCTACGTTTGATGATTTTTAAGTGATGGCATACATTATGGATGAAAAAGTAGCACTAATTAGTTGAAGGAAATAAGGCTTTAAGGAATTAATTGCTTCAAAGCTAAAAGAAATCAATATTTTTAGGTTGTAAATTTATTTCGTCAATTATAAAAGTTAAAAATTTGGAAAATAAAAAGATAAATTCATCTTTTGTTCTCCTTGACTTAGAGGTTATAAACCTGGGTGGATAGAGATCATAAATGGTCTTTGGGATACTATGAACTTTACGAAATTGTATGTAAAATTTTATGAATATGTACTTTTGTACACTTTTCAGGATAACGGCTTCATGCTTTATATTATATTTTCAAAGAGTTCTTTCTTTTTGCAGATGAGAATTTTGTTGTTGTTCTTATTTATTTATTTATTTATTTAAATTAATAGACTACTTTTTAGAGTGGTTGTTTTAGGTTTATAGAAAAATTGAGCAGAAAGGACAGAGTTCTCATGTACACCCACCCCCCGTCTAACATATGATGTGGAGCCTCTTTTCACATGCCTATTTGACATCTACATATCTTATTTGGTGAGGTGTCTTTTTAGATCTTTTGCTTACTTTTCTGTTGGGTTGTTTGTTTTCTTATTGTTGAGTTTTAAGAGTTCTTTGTATATTTTGTATACAAGTCCTTCATCACATAGGTGTTTGCAAACATATTCACCCAGCCTGTGGCTTGTCTTTTCTTTCTATTAACAATGCCTTTAACAGCATACGTTTTTAGTTTTAATAAAGTTCAGCTTATCAATTTTTTTCTTTGATGGATCATGCTTTTGGTGTTGCATCTAAAAACTCATCACCAAACCCGAAGTCACCTAGATTTTCTCCTGTCTTCTAGAAGTTTTATAGTTTTGTGTTTTATATTTAGATCTGTAATCCATTTTGAGTTAATTTTTGTGACGGGTATAAGGTCTGTGTCTGGACTGATTTCTTTGCATGTGGATGTCCAATTATTCTATCACAATTTTTTGAAAAGACCATCATTTCTCCATTGGATTGTCTTTGCTGCTTTGTCAAAGATCAGTTGACTGTATTTGTGTGGGTCTATTTCTGGGCTCTCTGTTCTTTTCCATTGATCAATTTGTCTGTTCCTTCACTAATACCACTGTCTTGATTGCTGTCGCTTTATACTAAGTCTTGAAGCTGGGTTGTATCAGTCCTCTGATTTTGTTCTTCAATATTGTGTTGGCTATTCTGGGTCTTTTGTCTTTCTATATAACTTTAGAATCAGTTTGTTAGTATCCACAAAATAACCTGCTGGGATTTTGATTGGGATTGCATTGAATCTATAGATCAAGCTGGGAAGAGCTGGTATCTGAACAATATTGAGTCTTCCTATCTATGAACATGGAGTATCTCTCCATTTATGTAGATCTTCTTTGATTTCTTTTATCATAGTTTTGTAGTTTTCCTCATATAGATATAAAGAGGTTGTTGAACCAAAAAAGATAACTATTGCTAACATCACCACTAGCATTCTGGGCATATGAGTACTCAAAATATATTTTAATCAGACTATATTTATAATTTTTGCCCTACATTTAAAAAAAGCAATGTGATATCATAAGTATTTTTCCACTTTGTGACATCTTTTCATGCATAAACCTTTTGCATTTTAAAAATTATTCATATGGGGCTGGCCCTGTGGCCGAGTGGTTAAGTTTGCGTGCTCCGCTGCAGGCGGTTCAGTGTTTTGTTGGTTCAAATCCTGGGCATGGACATGGCACTGCTCATCAAACCACGCTGAGGCAGCGTCCCACATGCTACAACTGGAAGGACCCACAACGAAGAATATACAACTATGTACCGGGGGGCTTTGGGGAGAAAAAGAAAAAAAAAAATTATTCATATCAACAGGAAAATGGATAAATAAATCGTGGGAAATTCATATAGTGGAATACTGCACAGCAGTTTAAAAAATGAACCACTGCCACCACAACCATATGAATGAATCTTACAGACATAATGTTGAGTAAAAGAAACTAGACACAAAAGAGTACGAACTGTATAATTTCATTTTCATGAAATTTAAGAAAGATGAAAATAATTATACTAATAGATGTCAGAATGCTGGTTACTACTGTGCAGGGGTATGGAGCAATTTGGGCTGAGAAGGGGCAAATGGGAACCAACTGGGATTTGAGGAATGTTTTGTATCCTGATTGAGTGTTAGTTACATAGGTGTATGTGTGTGTTTAGTGAGCTGTGCACTTAAGATTGGTGTACTCTATATATTATACTCTAATAAAAAATTACAAATAAAATGTATGTCACAGGAAAAAACTTGGAAAATATAGAAAGACACAAAGAAAAAAGAGTAATAAACTTAAGGATAATCCTTATTAACTTTTGGCTTTATATCTTTTTATACCTTCTATGCATATATTCAATTGACAAATATATTTCTGATATGATACATGTTTTTTTGTAGTCTCTTTTCATTTAACAATATATTATGAGTACTCTTCTATTTTAATAAAGATTCTTTCACAAGATTTTTAGTTGTGGTGTAGCTTTCTTGTGAGTGCACATATTCTAAATTATTTGATTAATGTGGCATTTGAAATATAGCTTGTTGCTAGTTTTCCCAAAATAAGAAACAATTCTGATATGAACATTCTTGAAAATATCTTTGTGTATATCTCTCATTATTTCCTTTATGTATTCTAAATACTAATTCTTTGTTGCTTATTGCATTGCATGTATATTATTCTATGGTTTGTCTATTCATGGTGTATGTTTTCCAAATTTTTTTTATTTTAGTGTATTCAAATTCATCAGTGTTTTTTCCTTTATGAATTGTAGTATTGGAGTTAAGTTTAAGCAATCTTTCCTGTGCTATGTTTTCTTCTAAAAATGTTAAGTTTTTTTTAATAAAGATTTTTAATCAGCTTGTGATTCATTTTTGTTTATGTTATAAGGTAGGGAATCTATTTTATTTCCTGTGTGAACAGTGAATTTCTGAATAGTCCATCCATTTCCCTCTGATTTTCAATACCAGTCTACCACATATCTGATTTTTGATTGGAATTGCATTGCATTAATGGATTAATTTAGAAAGAATTGACATACTTACAATATGGAGTTTTTCCATTCATGAGCAAGATATAATTCTTCATTTGTTATCTCTTCCTCTATATCTTCCAATAAAATTTTATAATTTTATTTTTAAAAGTCTTAGGTGCTTTTGGTTAGATTTATTCCTGAGTAAGTTAAAGTTTCTGTTTCTTTTTCAAGTGGTATATTTAAAAGAATTGCATTTTAAAATTATTATTGGTGTATAAGAATGGTAGTTGATTTTTATTTATTTATCTTGTAATCAACCACTTTGCTGAACTCCCTTATAGGTTTGTCTATAGATTCTTAAATTTTCTATGTAGATAATCGTGCTGTCTATGAGTAAGGACTATTTTCTCTCTTTCCAATTCCTTCACAGTTTATTTGTTTCTTACTTTGTTAGCTTAAACTTCCACTGTTGTTCATCACAGGCAGTGAAAAAAAATCCTAGTCTTAAATTGTTTACTTTAGAAGAACTATACCACTAGTGTTATGCTATTTAGTAATATGTCTACTGTACTTAAAAAAAATTCATTATTTTTATTTTTTATTAGGAGCTTGATTGAGATATAATTCACATGCCGTAAAATTCGCTATTTGAAAGTATTCAGTGGTTTTTAGTATAGTCAGTTGTGCAACCATCACTAGTATCTAATTTTGAAACATTTTCATTACCTCAGAAAGAAACTTTGTACCTGTTTCCCCCATTTCCTTCTCCCTAAGCTCTTGGAAAGCACTGTTCTACTTTCTATTTCAGTGAATCTGCGTATTCTGGATGTTGTATATAAATGGAAACTCAGCATGTAATCTTTTATGACTGGCTTCTTTACTTTGCATAATGTTTTCAATGTCCATCTATGTTGTAGTATGTAGCACTTCATTCCTTTTTATTAACAAAACATATTCCATTGTATGAATATACTGCATTTTGTTTATCCATTATCAGTTGATGTATTTGGATTGTTTCTACTTTTTGGCTATTGCAAATAACGGTACAATGACTTTTCATGTACAAATTTTTGTGTGGACATATATTTTCAGTTCTCATGAGTATTTAGTTAGGAGTGGAATCGCTGGGCCATATGGTAACTCAGTGTTTAATTTTTTGAGGAACTGCCAAATTGTTTTCCAAAGGGGCTGCACCATTTTGCAATGCCATCAACAATTTATGAGAGTTCTAATTTCTTCCACATCCTCGCCAACACTTGTTAGTGTCTCTTTTTTATTACAGTCTTCCTAGGGGGAGTGAAGTGGTATCTCAAAGAGTTCTTTATATATTCTGGATATTAGCACTTTATTGGATATTTGATTTGCAAATTCTTTTTCTTATTCTATGGGTGCTTTAGGATTTTTGTTATTATTTTTACTAGGTTAAGGAAATTTCCTCTAATCCTAGTTATTTAAGAAATTCATCATTGTGATTATTAAATTTTTTAGAATTTAATTTTTACCAGAGTAACATATGTACATAATTTAAAGAGTCAATTAGTATTATCAAGAAAAGCATTCATCTGTCCCTCTCCTTCTCAATCCCAATTTTCATTTCCCAGTGGCACTTTTAACTTTTATAGTGGTTTCTTCTGTTATTTAACCCCAATTTGCTGAATAACATATGGGTTCAGCTACTTTTGAGTTTTCAATTTAGATGTTCTCTATTGACTTCCTATTAAATATGATGATGATTTAGCTCCTTTACACATACACTCTCTCTTTTTTCTTCTCTCCATCCCTCCCTCTCTTCCTACTTTTCCTCTCTACTTCTTTCCCTTTCTCCACTCTCCATTCTCTCCATACAATTATATTAATGTTCAGTGTGTATATCATCATGTGATAGTAATGTCATGAAACTTACTTGATTGATTTTTTTATCTAACTTTATGTTTCCTGTGAAGTAATAATTATCTGTGTGTCTGTGTTTCCCATTCTCTTGGTTTTCTATTCATCTATAAGCCCAGCTGTCAATGTTTGGGTAACCTAGCCAGAAGTGACCTTGGAGTAGTCTCATGATTCAGTATGCAGAAGTTCATTCAGTCCTTCCGTTTTTAGTACAGTGCCTCACCTTCAGTAGTTCAGTTCTGTAGTGTTATAGAATAAATTGCCAGTATTCTGCCAGTGTTGGAGAGAAATAGTAGCCTTCATAGAAGGTATTGCTGAGGTGGCTTGATTTTTTAAAAGAACAATTTAATACTTGTTTTTCATTAATAATTTGTACCACTGAATGATTTTTCATGTTCATAGCGTCTTTTTCATTTTTTGTTTCTTTTTGAAAAATATTTCTATTTGTATCCTTAATGTTTTTCAGTGGAGACTAATTTTACTCTTATGGACATATATTATTTCATAATATATCTGAATATTAAAATTTATCTGTCGTTTTTCTTAACTGTTTTCCGACTTTATTTTCATTGAGCACATCTTTTATTGTCAAACGTCAAAGTTGGCACCAATATCTTTTATTGCTTCAATATTCAGGTTTCTCTTTCATAATGTGGGAAAACATACTTTTCTTTTTTCTTATAATTTTATCTTAATGTCTACACTTCCATCCATATTAAATCTTAGGAGCCATGTAAAAACTAAGAAGGCAGTTAACATACATCTTGTATTGAGCATATATTGTTTCCTTGAGTCATTCTTTTAGTTTTGCTTGTCATATAGTCATACTCAGGGAATAATTCATTTAGGTGGCTTAGCACCCCTTTTAAGCTACCTGGAGAAACCATTTGTTACATTTTTATTTAGTTCCTTAATTTATTTCTTTTTTTTTTGAGGAAGATTAGCTCTGAGCTAACATCTGCCGCCAATCCTCCTCTTTTTGCTGAGGAAGATTGACCCTGAGCTAACATCTGTGCCAATCTTCCTCTGTTTTATAAGTGGGTGGCTGACACAGCATGGCTTGATGAGCAGTGTGTAGGTCTGCACCCGGGATCTGAACCAACAAACCCCGGGCTGCTGAAGGGGAGCACGCAAACTTAACCACTACACCACGGGGCCAGCCCCTAGTTTATTACTTTTGAAGGGCACTGTATAATACCCTAATTGCCTGAAGAAGTAATGGACCTCCTAAATGTATAACTTAATATTAAAGTGTCATTTACTCTGAAGAGAATTTCGGAATATATGGGAATCCAAAACATATTTTAGCACTTGTGTATTAATATTTGCCCAAAATTTTAATGTGTATTTCATTTGGGTTTCATTATAGTTTTGAGGAGTTTGTCTCCCCCCACCCAGTATACTTAATATGGTAATTTCTTATAGGGACATTTTTCTGCTGTCCTACAAAAAGAAGAAAAAGTCCTACCAATTCATGGTAAAGAGTCAAGAGAAGTACCTATTATTAGTGCTTCAACTCAAATAATGCTCAAAGGACTTTTTATGGTGCTTGACTATCTTTTTAGGCAAAATAGCAGGTAAGTGAAGATATCTGATCTGTATTTTTCCTCTTAAAAATATTAGCTTTATTGGGTGCTAGAATGTGCTTAACATATATTAATTTTTATGAGTACGTGGGATAATCGTAAACAAGTGGTATAAGTATTGCTCTTACTTATTGACACAGACTCAGATCAATTGAAATTAGTTTTTATTAATGAAAATGAATATTTAAATCAGTAAATACATACATTTAATTAATTCAGCATTAAATTTATAGTCCTCTAGGACTAAATTTAAGCATTTTTTTCTCTTAAGTATACTTTAGGTATGTTTCTTCCAGTGTCAGAAACTTTCTTTCTTCTTGTATAAAGCCTCTATTTAGGGAAATGTGGAAAATGAAAAGCAGTCAACTCCCTGCATACTACCCCTTGTTAAGTTATAGTACTACCTGGTTCCAGTAATTTTTTTTAGTGTTTTTTTTTATTGTGGTAAAATATACATAGCATAAAATTTACCCTTTTAACCATTTTTAAGTGTATATTTCAGTAGCATTAAGTATATTCACATTGTTGTGCAACCATCATCAATATCCATTTCCAGAATTTTTTCATCATCCCCAACAGGAACTCTTTACCCATGAAACAATATCTCTCATTTCCCTTTCCACACAGCCTCTGATAACCTCTATTCTACTTGTATCTCTATGGATTTGCACTTTCCAGGTATCTCGTATAAGTGGAATCATATAACATTTGTTGTTTTGTGTCTGGCTTATTTCACTTAGCATAATGTTTTCAAGGTTCATCCATGTTGCAACATATCAGAATGTCATTCCTTTTTGTGGCAGAAAAATATTTCGTTGTATGTATATGTCACATTTTGTTTATCCATTCTTTTGTTCTTGGACTTTAGAATTTTTCCACCTTTTACCTATTGTGAATAATGCTGCAGTTGAACATTGATATACAAGTAACTGCGAATCCCTGCTTTCAGTTTCTTCTGGATACATAACTAGCAGTGGAATTGCAGGATCAGATGATAATTCTGTATTTAGCTTTTTGAGAAACCAACGTACTATTTTCCACAGCAACTGCACATTTTAGGTTCCCATAGTTATGGGCAAGAGTTTCAATTTCTTTACATCATTGCCAGTACTTGTTATTTTCTGTTTTTTGGGTAATAGCCATCCTCAGGGGTATAAAGTAGTATCTCCTGGTGGTTTTGATTTAATGATTAATTGACTTCTCTAATGGTTAGAGATACTGAACATCTTTTCATGTGCTTTTTGTCCATTTGTATGTCTCCATTGAGGAAATGTCTATTCAAGTCTTTTGCCCATTTTTCAATTGGCTTTTTTGTTGTTGTTGGTATTGTTATTGAGTTGTAGGAGTTATTTGTATATTCTGCATATTAATCCCATGTCAGATATATGCTTTATAAATATTTTCTCCCATTCTGTGGGTTGTCTGCTCACTCGATAGTGTCCTTTGATGTACAAAAGTTTTTAAATTTTGATCAAGTCCAATTCATCTATGTTTTCTTTTGTTTTTGGTGCTTTTGGTATATTTAAAACACATGGCCAAATCTGATGTCATGAAGATTTTCCCCTATGTTTTCTTCTAGGAGTTTTATAGTTTTTAGCTCCCAGTCTTTTTATAAAAATTCTGTGAACAGATTTAGAGTCCCTGACTTGAGCTTTGAGATCTGATCTCTCTAAGAGCGAAATTAACAGTCAATATTATGGTGAGGATGTAGTAGAGAATACCACATCTTATTCTGCGTAAGCCTAGGCATTTATAGCCTCTTGAAAGCCTATTGAAAGAAATTATAAGCTGCATGGGATCACAGAGATCATCTGCTTCAGTACCTTAAAAGTAGGTGAAGACTGAGACCTACAGTTTAAAGGAACTTAACAATTTTATAATTACTTTCCTAAATTTTTAAAACTTTTAGTAAAAATTATCTTTCTGTTTTCTCATGTAACAAGAAAGTGTAACTCAGTTTTTAGTTTCTTTAACAATAATACAGTTATCTGTTGCGTAACTAATGATTTAACATAGAGTGCAAAGAGCTCTGGCCTAGGAGTTAGGAGGCCTGGATTTTAGTTCTGGCTCTGCCATGATTTACGCAGTGTTTGAACTTAGGGATAGGAAGTGGTAAGGAGTGGATAGTTAGTGATGTCTAATCTGTGTAAGAGGGGTTTGATTCTAAGATTTAATGGCGTATTTTGTATCAGAATTATTGAATTTAATTAGTGGTGGGGGTTGCTGGTTAGGGAGAAGGTTATCTTTGAGTGGGAAGATACCAAGACTCTCAATTTAGTTTTAATATAATCAGTTTTTATATTGTATATAGCTGAGACATATGTTTTATAAAGTTTTGCCGTTTAATTGCCATTTTATTTACATCTAGGTTTGCAGATGATTATAAAGTTGCTATTCAACAGACTTACTCTTGGGTAAATCAGACTGATCCTTCAGATAAAAATGAGTTCTTTGCTCTACCAAAAAATAAGAAACGTTTACGACAGAAAACTGCAGTTCATGTGCTAAACTTTTGGTGCTTAAATCCAGCCGTGGTAAGCTTATTATGTTGTAAATGAAAATTCTGTCTTCTTACTCAATACCAACAATTAAATAAATGTATTTGTCTCTTTTAAAGATAATTTTATGTATCTAATGTTGTTTTCTTTTAGGCCTTTTCAGATATTAATGGCAAAGTTTGGACGATTGTTTTAACATCTGGGACATTATCACCAATGAAATCCTTTTCATCAGAACTTGGTGTTACATTTACTATCCAAATGGAGGCTAATCATGTCATTAATAACTCACAGGTTAGTTTTTTTTTTTAAGTCTCTCAGTCTTTTTACCTCAATATAATTCTATATAAACAAATTAGAATGCACCTGAAGTACAAGCATATTGATCCTGATAGGAAATTCAACATTTCAGTTTTAGAATAAAAGAAAATCTGTGAGCTACTTGATAATATCAACAAAAGGAAATGCTATTAAACAGCATTGCTTCAACCCATTGAGTAAAAATATGCACTTTGGATGCAAAGACTGTATTGCAATTTCCTTATCTAAGGAAGTTTTAGTTTTTTCATGAAAATTAAAAACAAAACAAAAATTCAAGTTCTTTACCATATTTCCTACTGTATAATTATTTGTTCATGTGTTTCTCTTTTCCATTAGACTATGGTGTATCCTTATTCTTCTTTTTACATCCCCATTCTTCCACTGCTCTTAGAGTAATACCTGGCATTAATTAGCAAGTGTTCAGCAAACGTTTGAATATCTGAGATGATGTAGAAGTACTCTTATGAGTCCTTAAGAGTAAGGAGAGTTAAGATTTTAATTTTTCGTAACAGTACCATATAAATGTTATTTTAGTTTTCCTAGGAACTTTTGAATTGTCATTTGCCAATCTGCCTTCTGTTTCTTTTTATGAAGTAATTTAAAGCAGTTAGCTACATGCTAAACACCACCTGTGTGCCTAACATAGTTCTAATTCTTTATAAAGCTCTGGTTTTCAACCAAGGTGTATTTGTAGGGACATTTTTGGTTCTCACAATTACTTGGGAGGACTATTGGCATTTAGTAGCTGGGGTCATTGAATGCTAAGCTCCTATGTAACAAAGAATTGTGCTTTCCAGAATGCCAGTGTGCTCCTGTTTAGAAACACTGCCATAAACAATAGTGAAGGAAAACTATATAGTCCACATTTTCAAGTTGCTTTCTTTAGAGACTCAGATAAATACGGGAAGTTATTAGTAAATTTAGTATATATTTTCTTGTAAGAATGGTGTTATAGGTTCTGTGTTCTCAATCTAGTGCATAAAAGCACATTTAACCTGTAATGTCATTGAATTATAATAGTAATGGTATGCTAGTTGTTTAGCTGAATTCTGTTAGAATATTAGAATATTTTCCCCCAACTTTTAAAAATTTGTTTTTTATTTTAATTGTAGTAAAATACACATAATTTAAAACTTACCGTCTTAACCATTTTTAGGTATACTGTTCAGTCTTGTTAAGTATATTCATATGGTTGTGCAGCCAACCTAGAGAACTTCTCCATCTTGCAAAACTGAAATTCTATTCTGGTTAATCAACAATTCTCCATTCCCCACTCCTCCCAGCCCTTGGTAACCACCATTCTACTCTCTCTTTTCATAAATTTGACTACTCTAGATACCTCATATAAGTGGATTTATGAGCTGTTTTTCTTTTTTTGATTAGCTTATTTCACTTAGCATGATATCTTTAAGGTTCATCAATCTTGTAACGAGTCAGAATTTCCTTGCTTTTTAAGGCTGAGTAATATTCCAATGTATGTATGTATATTTTGTTTGTACATTCATTTGTTGATTTCCCCAATTTTTTTTGTTGTTGAGGTCAAATTGGTTTATAACATTATGTAAATTTTGAGTGTACATCATTGTATTTCGGCTTCTGTATAGACTGCATAGTGTTTATCCCCAGAAGTCTAGTTTCCTTTTGTCACCATACATATGTATCTCTTTACCTCTTCCACTGTCTTCCCTTCTCCCATCCCCCATCCACTTCAGTAACAACCAATCTGTCTTCTGTATGTATGTGTTTGTTTATCTTCCACATATGAGTGAAATCATATGGTATTTTTCTTTCTCCACCTGACATATTTTACTTAGCATAATACCCTCAAGTTCCATCTATGATTGTGAATGGCACGATTTCATCTTTTTTATGGCTGAGTAGTATTCCATTGTGTATATATATACCACATCTTCTTTATCCATTCATCTTTTAATGGGCACTTAGGTTGCTTCCAAGTCTTGGCTATTGTGAATAATGCTGCAGTGAACATAGGGGTGCACTATTTCGAATTAGTGTTTTCATGTTCTTTGGATAAATGCCCAGAAGTAGAATAGCTGGATCATATGGTATTTCGATTTTTAATTTTTTGGCAAATGTCCATGCTGTTTTCCATAGTGGTTACAACAGTTTGCATTCTCACCAGCAGTGTGTGAGGGTTCCCTTTTCTCCATATCCTCTCCAACACTTATTTATTGTCTTTTAATAATAACCATTCTGATGGATGTGAGGTGATATCTCATTGTAGTTTTGATTTGCATTTCCTTAATAATTAGTGATGTTGGACATCTTTTCATGTGCCTGTTGGCCATCTGTATATCTTCTTTGGAAAAATGTTCTCATCTTCTGCCTGTTTTTTGATCAGGTTTTCATTTTTTTGTTGAGTCATATGAGTGCTTTATATATTTTGGAAATTAACCCCTTGTCAGATACATGATTTGCTAATATTTTCTCCAGTTGGTGGGTTGTTTTTTTGTTTTGTTGATGGTTTCCTTTGCCATGCAAAAGATTTTTAGTTTGATGTAAGCCCATGTGTTTCCTTTTTCTTTTGTTTCTCTTGCCTGAGGAGACATGATATTCAAAAAGATACTGCTAAGACGGAAGTCAAAGAGCATATTGCCTCTATTTTCTTCTAGGAGTTTTGTGGTTTCAGGTCTTACACTCAAATCTTTAATCCATTTTGAGTTAATTTTTGTGTATGGTGTAAGATAATGGTTTACTTTCATTCTTTTGCATGTGGCTGTCCAGTTTGCCCAGCACCATTTATTGAAGAGACTTTCCTTTCTCCATTTTATGTTCTTGGCTCCTCTTCGAAGACTACCTGTCCATAGATGTGTGGTTTTATTTTTGGGCTTTCGTTTCTGTTCCATTGATCTATATGTCTCTTTTTGTGGCAGTATCATGCTGTTTTGATTACTATAGCTTTGTAGTATATTTTGAAGTTAGGGATTGTGATACCTCCAGCTTTATTCTTTTTTCTCAGGATTGCTTTGGCTATTCAGGGTCTTTTGTTGTTCAATATAAATTTTAGGATTTTTTGTTCTGTTTCTGTGAAGAATGTTATTGGGATTCTGCTTGGGATTGCATTCAATCTGTAGATTGCTTTAAGTAGTATGGACATTGAAACTATGTTTATTCTTCCAATCTGTGAGCATGGAATATCTTTCCATTTCTTTATGTTTTCTTCAAATTCTTTTAATAATGTCTTACAGTTTTTGGCGTTTAGGTCTTTCACCTCCTTAGTTAAAATTTATTCCTAGGTATTTTATTCTTTTTTGTTGAAACTGTAAATGGGATTCTATTCTTGATTTCTCTTTCTGCTAGTTCATTGTTAGTGTATAGAAATGCAACTGATTTTTGTAAGTTGATTTGGTACCCTACAACTTTACTGTATTCATTAATTATTTCTAATAGGTTTTGGTGGATTCCTTAGGGTTTTCTTTATATAGAATCATGTCATCCACAAATAGTAATAATTTTACTTCTTTTCCAACTTAGGTCCCTTTTATTTCTCTGGCTAGGACTTCCAATAGTATGTTGAATAAGAGTGGCGAGAGTGAATATCCTTGTCTGGTTCCTTTTCTTGGAGGAACAGCTTTCAGTTCTTCACTGTTGAGTATGATATTGGCTGTGGATTTGTCCTATATGGCCTTTATTATGTTGAGATACTTTATGATTCCCCCAGCTTTTTTCTAAAAAATTACAAACTTCAGAAAAGTAGAAAAATTAGTATTAATGCAGTGAGCAGCATCTTTATACCCTTCACCTAGATTCATTGATTGTTAATATTTTGCATAGAAAAAAAACCCAATAATTTCAATATAGATTTCCTTTAAACTCGTTGCTTGATCATTTGACATACATGTAATTAAGGCTCATAACTAAATGTTAATTTGGCTGCCTAGTTTAGGCATATATGAGAGAAAGAGAGAAGAGGAATGTGGCAGAACGTAAACAATTGCATTATGTATGTATGTATGTGTATCCAAAATGCACATTTTTGGATAAACTATTAGAAAGTAATTTGTAGACATCATGACACTTTGCCCTTAATAGTTTGGCATGTCTTTCATAAGAACAAGTACATAAACACAATACCATGATCATACCCAAGAAATTTAATATTGATACAATAGAATCGATATTTATATTTCTTCAGTTATTCCCATTATACCTGTTTATTTTTGTTATTCCTAATCCAGGATCTAGTCAAGCATTATATATTGCATTTGGTTTTCATTTAGTCTTTGAAACAGTTTTCTTGTCCTTTTTTTTCTTTCATGACACTTTTTAAGAATTCAAGTCACCAGTTGTCTTGAGGAATATCTTATAATCAGGATTTATCCGATTGTTTCTTTATGATAAGATTCAGGTTAAACAGTTTGGTAAGAATACTATATAGGTGATATTGTTACTTTCCATTGCATCATATCAGGAAACACAGAATATCAGTTGTCTTATTACTAGTTGATCATTTGGTTAAAAGTTGGTTAAACTGGTATCTGTCAGATGTCATCTTGCAAGATGTACCTCAATCTCATACATCATTTTTAAATATAGGACTATTACACTTTTCAGTACTCCGAGGTGTTTGTATATTGTCTTTACATTACTAGTAAAGTTTGTTCTTTCTTTTAGTCAAATTAACTACGCTGAGGCTAGATCTGTATGACTGTAGAGGAATTACAAATATGTGAAAGTTGGTGGGTCTGATTTTCTGTGACCATAGATCTTTGAGCACCAGTGAATTTGTGAAAGAGTAGTTCCTGTCCTAGTTGAGCCTCAGAGACTTACCTAAAGCAGATCATAGCAGCCCTCACCTCTAATATTTTGGAATCATTGTTGCTTTATTGATTTTATTTATTCACATCATGCAACAAAATTTTGTTACATGCTTAATTTTGCAAAGGTATTGAGGAAATAGATAAGTAAAACCCTTTTTGCTTTCATCCTAAAAGAATTCAGTGGTGTGCCTAAAATAAACTTCTATAGATTAAATCTATATACAATTAATTAAAGGTAATAGAAAAAACCCCTACAACGTAAAAACAAATTTCATTGCTTCTCGGCCTTTTGGCTAAGATCAAGTGTAAAAACAAATTTCCTCTAAACTTGTTGCTTGACCTTCTTTTGACATACACATAATTAAGGCTTCCAACTAAATGCTAATTTGCCTGCTTAGTTTAGACTTAACTCTAATACTGACATATTGATGTTCTAGGTTTGGGTTGGCACCATTGGGTCAGGCCCCAAAGGTCGGAATCTTTGTGCTACCTTCCAGCGCACGGAAACATTTGAGTTCCAGGATGAAGTGGGAGCACTTTTGTTATCTGTGTGCCAGACTGTTAGCCAAGGAATTTTGTGTTTCTTGCCATCTTACAAGGTAAGGGAATATTTATTGTTTCTTTTGCCTTTAAAAAAATTATGTGGGATTTCCATGATAGGCTTCCTGGGGTCAGAAGCAACAAGGGAATTATAGTTTTCTGAACATTATATATTGTTGTACTTATTTATTGATTATGATACTGCCTGATTGTTCTATCACTGTTTTGCTTGAAAGTCTAAAAGCTAAAGTCTTCAAGCAACGTTAGTTATATGCAAAGACTATTTATGTGTGATTTTTTTTTTTTTAAGATTTTATTTTTATTTTTTTCCTTTTTCTCCCTAAAGCTCTCCGGTACATAGTTATACACTCTTAGTTGCGGGTCCTTCCAGCTGTGGTATGTGGGACGCCGCCTCAGCGTGGCTCGATGAGCCGTGCCATGTCCGCACCCAGGATTCGAACAGACAAAACACTGGGCTACCTGCAGCAGAGCACGTGAACTTAACCACTCGGCCACGGGGCCGGCCCCTGTGATTTTTATTCTTAGAGGCAGCTTGGTATTTTCATAGCTGAAGGAAAAAGGAGCATTCCTTTTCATTTTCATAAATTGCATTTTTGAATGTTTCAGTAATCTAAATCTAAAGTCAAACTTTGTCGCCCATCTTTTTGCTTCATGTGTTTGGCTAGAAGAAAACATTTTTTTTCTTGTTTTTATAATCACTCTGACTTTTAATATTTTCTCAGGTTAAACTGAGTTATAGTGTATTTTAATCCTGCTAATATTCAAAGCATTAATACCACATATATTCCTGAGAGTAATATCATGTTTTATCAAAATCTAAGCTAAATTCCAATGTAGAGAAGCAGTATTCCCTTTTCTTTTTTCATAGGAAGTTATATATGTAAGGATAGTAGCATAAGTAAGTGATATATCTGAATGACAATAGTGATACTTTTGGCTCTCCTACTGTCTTTCTGTCTATATACATACTGCTGTGGTCTGAATATGTCTATCCAACTTTGTATGTTGAAATCCAAACCCCCAAAGATGATGACATTAGGAGGGGCCTTTGGAGGTGCTTAAGTCATGAGGATAGAATCCTCATGAATAGGATTAGTGTCTTATAAAAGAGACTCCAGAGATCCCTTGTCCCTTCCACCACGTGAGGGCACAGCAAGAAGGTGCCACCTAAGAACCATGAAGAGGGCCCTCACCAAACGTGACCATGCTGGTGCCTTGATCTTGGACTTTCCAGCCTCCAAAATTATAAGCAATAAATTTCTGTTATTTGTATGAGCTACGCAGTCTGGGGTAATTTATTATAGCAGCCTGAATGGGACTAAGACACATACTTTGTTAGCCAGAGATGCAGTAAATTAGTCCTCTTGTAGATAAATTGAAAGAATTGCTTTCAGAAGAAATTTAATCAGATAGTTTTTTTATAAGAATATCTAAAAATAAAATGAACATAAACATCTTAAAAATTCTTCATAGAAAGCATTTATTGCAGTGTGAACATCTATACCAAACAGTTATAACTAATAACTAGTAACTAATAACCAAACAGTTAAAACTAATAATTAAGCCTAAAACTAAAGAAAAGCAAAATCTCAACACATTAATAAAACCTTTTTATATTTTTCAATCGCAATCACAAAAAGCAAGCCGGGAAATGTCCAGTTGAGTAGATGAACAATTTCATTTTTTGCTAGGCATCAAAGACATGGTCAGAATGGTTCCTTATATGATAGGAAGAAGCTTAGTGTGATTTGTTTCTTAGTATTTATAGAGGAGAACTAAATCTAATATAAAGTTATTCAAATGGACAATGATATAATTGTCAATGAAAAAGTTACAGTGGAAAAGAAAACAACCTATTTGTTAAATAATGCGCTATACCTTCTGGTCCCAGTGTTCTCGCACAATATACTTTTCATTAGCCAGTTTTGATAATTTAAAAATATATTCTAATTATTAGTATATTGAGGTGAAATATATCACTTGATAGGAGGAAAGTAATTACTCTAAATATAAATGGAATATCACCTCCTAATTTGATTTTTTGGAGTAGATATAACACAGTATTAGTTTTATAGTTACTGAAATTGTTGTGTGACTACAGAAACTATAACAGTTAAATATACTTTTTAGCAGATTTGTAAATTGGAATAATGAATGGATTGTTTCTCTACTTCTACCTTTTCAACTAAAAAAGATAAAAAAGATACAGAAAATAAGCTTTCAAACGTATTTTCTTTTTCATTTATTTATTTGACTAGTAGTGAGATTGATTGTTCTGTGGGTTTTATTTAAAAAAAATTTTGTTTATTGTCTATTTATACTATATTTATCTTTTTAATTGATTTGAATGGACTTTTAATATATCACATGTATTAATTAATTAATTAATTAATACATGTGATATATTACATGTACATAATACATATCATAAAATCATAATACATATCCATAATACATATCATAAAAAACTTCTCCAGTTTTTCATTTGTTGAGTTATTGCAATTTTATTTGAAGCTTTAAAAGTTTAATTTATCAAATTAGTTCTTATACATAATTAAATAATAATAATGATTATAATGAGAAACAACAGTTTCCTGCCCCACTTCTCCTCACTTTCCAGTTCCACACCTCAGACGCTTCTCAAATCTTTGAGCTATTCCTTTGATATTTATTATTTCTTTTTTTATTGTAGTAAAATATGTATAACATAAAATTTATCATTTTAACCATTTTTAAGTGTGCAGTTTAGCCACATTAAATATATTTGCAGTTACAACCGTAACCACTATTCATTTCTAGACTTTTCATCATCCCAAACAGGAGCTCTGTAGCCATGAAATAGTAGCCCCTCTACCACAGTTCCTGGTAACCTCTATTCTGCTTTCTGTCTATAAAAATTTGTCTATTCTAGGTACCTTGTATAAATGAAATCATTCAATATTTGACATTTTGTGTCTGGTTTATTTCCCTTAGCATAATGTTTTCAAGGTTCATCCATGTTATAGTATGTATCAGAATTTCATTCCTTCTTATGGCTGAATAATAGTCCGTTATATATATATATATATCACATTTTGTTTATCCATTCATCTGTTGATGGTCACCTGGGTTCTTTCTACCTTTTGGCTATTGTGAATAATGCTGCTCTGGATATTGGCATACAAATATCTATTTGACCCCTTGCTTTCCATTCTTTTAGATATATACCTAGAAATGGAATTGCTAGATCCTATGATAATTATGTATACCTTTTTGAGGAACTGACGTGCTATTTTCCACAGCAACTGCACAATTTTAGATTCCTATCAGCAACGCACAAAGGTTTCCATTTCTCCACATCCTTATGAATATTTGTTATTTTCTGTTTTTTTGGATAATAGCTGTCCTAATGGATGTGAAGTGGTATCTCCTTGTTGTTTGATTTGTATCTCTGTTATGGCTAGTGATGTTTCATGTGCTTATTGGCCATTTGTATATCTTCTTTTGAGAAATGTCTACTCAAATCCTTTCCTCATATTTGAGTCTGTTTTGTTGTTATTGTTGAATTGTAGGAGTTCTTTATATATTCTAGATATTAATCCCTTATCAGATATATGCTTTTTAAATATTATCTCCCGTTGTATGAGTTTTTTCACTCTATTAGTGTCCTTTGATGCACAAAAGTTTGAAATTTTGAGGAAGTTCAGTTATCTCTTTTTTCTTTTGTTATTTGTACTTTTTCTGTCATAACCAAGAAATCATTGCCAAATCCAATGTCATGAAGATTTTCCCTGTGTTTTCTCTAAGGGTTTAATAGTTTAGCTGTTAGATTTAGTTCTTTGATCCATTTCGAGATAATTTTTATATATGGTGTGTAATATATAAATATATGGTCCACTTCATGTTTTGTGTGTGTGGATATCCAGTTTTCCCAGCACCATTTGTTGAAAAGACTCTTTTTTTCTCCATTAAATGATCTTGATTCCCTTGTTGAAAACCCCTTGACCAAAGGATTATTTCTGGACTTTCTATTCTATTCCTGTGGTCTATACATCTGTCCTTTTGCCATTACTGTTTTGATTATTTTAGGTTTTCACTAAGTTTTGGAATCAGGAAGTGTCACTGCTCCAACTTTGTTTTTTTCAAGATTGTTTTGGGCTATTTGGAGTTCCTCAAGATTGCTTGAGCATTTTACAATGGGTTTTTCTTTTTCTGCAAAAGAATATCTTTGGGATTTTGATAGGGATTGCATTGAATCTATATTTTGCTTTGGTAGTATTATTGTCCTAATAATATTAAGTATTCCAATCACTTAACATGGAATGTCTTTCCATTTATTTGTGTCTTCTTTAATTTTTTTCAGCAGTGTTTAGTAGTTTTCAGGATACAAATCTTCTTGGTTAAATGTATTCCTAAGTATTTTTTTCTTTGATGGTATTGTAAATGGAATTGTTTTCTTACTTTCCTTTTTGTGGAGTTCGTTGCTACTGTATGGAAATGGAAATGATTTTTGTGTACTGATTTTGTATCCTGTAACTTTGCTGAATTTATTTACTCTAGAATTTTTTGTTGAAAATTTAGGGTATTCTATTTAGAAGACCATATCATCTGCAAACAGAGTTCAGTTTACTTCTTCCTTTCCGATTTGGATGTCTTTTGTTTCTTTTTTTGCCTGATTACTCTGGCTAGAATTTCCACTACTGTGTTGAATAGAAGTAGGGCAAGCTAGCATCCTTGACTTTTTCTAAGGGTGATAGCTGTGGCTTTTTCATGTATTGCTTATCATGTTGAGGAAGTTTCCTTCTATTCCTAGTTTACTGGTTGTTTTTTGTCATTGATGTTGTTCTGCATCAATTGAGATAATCTTGTGATTTTTTGGTCCTTCGTGCTATTAATGTTGTGTATTACGTTCATTGATTTTCGTATGTTGAATCACTCTTGCATTTTGGGAATAAATTAGTCATGGTGTATAATCTTTTTATTATGTTGCTGAATGTGGTTTGCTAGTATTTTGTTGAGGATTTTTGCATCGCTATTTATAAGGGATATTGGTCTGTAG